GTTTATACAACCAGCAATCGAGCAAGCAAGATAGTTCATGCCCACTATAAGAGCCTTCAAGAGAAATTCCCCCATGTCTATAAGCAGAAAATGATAGTTGCATATTCAAAAAATAAGAACTTAAATGATAATATTGTTCATAGTAAACTAAAAACAATCAGTACATAACAGATACTATACTTCTCGCCCATTGGGCGAGTTATTTTTTCTAATTTCAGATCAGAATAAGAACAGAAGAAAACCCAATATCAAGACCCTTAATCCTGATTTCTAAATAAAGTGTCTGCTCCACCCTAGGCCTGTACATTTGGGAGAATCAAACCCTCCCTTCCCCGAAATCTAATTATTTGCAAAATATTAATTTCACATGTTACTATCAACATGAAAAATCCCAGATCCAAACAGACCCGACGATGCAATTCTACAGCTTTTAGAGATTTGTCTTAGCCTTCAAGAGAAATTCCCCCATGTCTATAAGCAGAAAATGATAGTTGCATATTCAAAAAATAAGAACTTAAATGATAATATTGTTCATAGTAAACTAAAAACAATCAGTACATGACAGATACTATACTTCTCGCCCATCGGGCGAGTTATTTTTTCTAATTTCAGATCAGAATAAGAACAGAAGAAAACCCAATATCAAGACCTTTAACCCTAATTTCTAAATAAAGTGTCTGCTCCACCCTAGGCCTGTACATTTGGGAGAATCAAACCCTCCCTTCCCCGAAATCTAATACTGTCCGTGCCAGGCCAGATCAGACAATTTATTTTGACTTTGGTATATTTTATTTCATCTTATATATATTTTATTTTTTTTGTATATATTGTATATGTTAGGATTTTGACATTTGTTTCTCGTGCATATAACAAACTTTCTTCAACAAAATTTGCATTAATCTTTTAATCTAACCAAGTAAATTTAATTGCCATTATTTATGTTTTTCTTTCATGTAAATTATACTCCGAGATAATCCATCCATTTAAAGTAGTACTAGGGTATAATCAAAATTCAAAGTTAGTTCTAATCAATTTACAATTCACTAATCCCGCTTATTTT